AACATTGACGATCCGTCTAGTATGGAGCAGAAAGAGGGTGTAAACGAGTTTCCGACGTAGAACGTAGGCGCATTAAACACATATTCCGTAGCACAGCACTCGCACCTTGCAAACACCGTACGATCACAAACAAGCTCGTTTCCGCGACTTTAATCGTACGCACACAGCCTGTACGAAGGTTCTTAGTGTCAGAGACGCAGTTTCTGCCCTGTGAGCTCCTACCGGTAAGACTGGACTCATCAATACCGAAGTATTTAGAGTAGATGGAGCAACCTGGACCTTCATGGCCATGGAAGGTCTGCTGCTTGCTCTCTGTGATCAAGCATCTCGCCCTATATGCGTATCTTTGTTGAGCGTTACTAACCATTTTATAATCCTTGGTTATTTTTTTACTTGTCCAGTTGTTTGGCGTGCACGGGTTCAAATGCCGGGGAATTTTCCAGACCACTTATAACCGCATGGAACTCCTAACACTGAACATGGCATGCTTTGTCCTGCTTAAGCTACGCGGAACCAGTACCTGTGTACGAATTTTGTTGGCATGCAGTTAGTGTGCTGTCCACAGCGCTACTTTTCGGTCGCATTTCAACGAATTTCAGCACTATCCTCCGTCCCGTTACAGTGTCGCTTTATTCGAACATCAATTCCCGATCTGCCTTCATCATAGGGTATTTACACCTTTGAACTCGTGTCTATCTTCGCTAGAAATTCGCGCATCGTGTCTGCTTACTGCTGTTCTGTTGTACTCGACAATGAACACGTCTCTCTACAGCTGTCCACATGCTACCTCGCAATTAGATACTTATCGTTTTACAGTTTCCTCGAACAGGCCCGGTACCTAATTATGCGTGCCAGACAATCTAGTTAATGTCTAACTACACACACACACTCCATGCTAGAGTTGAATTTTTTAAGCTATTCATCCGCCCCATTCTCGCGTACTGTAGCATGGTATGCAGTAACATGAAAAAGAGCGACAGAATTATTCTGGAACACCTGCAGAACTTATCCGCTATACATCTGATTGATTGATTGCATAAGTCCTCAGGAGCAGATAGAATTCCCCCAGCCCTCTTCAAATTCGGTGGACCTGCTCTAGCAGATGATCTACACGAGTTGCTAGTAAGACTTTGGGAGCAGGAGACAGTCCCGACAGACTGGAACCGCTCCGTCATTGTCCCAATTTTCAAGGGAGGCTCTCGTTTGGAATGTGGTAATCATAGAGGGATCAGTCTGATTTCGATTGCCTCTAAATTGCTTGCTTCTGTCATTCTCCACAGACTGACTGGCACTCGTGAAAGCCAGATTCGGGAAGAGCAAGCCGGATTTCGTCGAGGTCGGGGCTGCATCGACCACATCTTCACATTGCGTCAAGTGTTGGAGCACCGCCATGTTTATTGGCGACCCACCGTTGTCGTGTTTCTTGACATAAAAGGTGCCTTCGATTCGGTCGATCGATGTGCCCTTTGGGACTGTCTGCTGAGGAAAGGTGTGCCTGATAAATATGTAAACATTATCAAAGCGCTGTACGCGCATAGTTCGGGCAGGGTGAGGGTTTATGGCAAACTCTCGCCACCCTTCAGTATCACCAGCGGCGTGAGACAAGGATGCCCGCTGTCACCTTTCCTCTTCAACTTCGCTATTGATGAAGCCATAGAAACAGCGTTCGCTGGACACGACCTAGATGGTGTGGAGCTACTTCCTGGTGAGCGACTTCTTGACTTGGAGTATGCGGATGATATTGCCCTAATCTGTGACAGCCTCCAAACATGCCAAAGAGCACTGGACCGATTAGCACTGGCTGTCAATCGTTTTGGGCTATGCTTTGCTCCATCGAAATGCAAAGTACTTCTCCAAGATTGGCAGGGACCCAACCCTGCGCTAACGCTTGGTGGTGATCTGCTAGAAGTCGTTCAGGAATTCAAGTACCTGGGCAGCTATATTAGCACCCGTGGGATTGAAGATGAGGTTACGAACCGCATAGCAAAAGCTCGAGGTGCTTTTGCCAATCTCCACCACCTGTGGCGCAGACGCGACATTACTCTCGCCCTCAAGGGCAGAGTTTACAACGCAGCCGTCCGTTCTACTCTCTTATATGGTTGTGAAACCTGGCCCATCAGGTCGACTGACATGAAGAGACTCGTCACATTCGATCATCGCTGCCTTCGCAGCTTAGCTGATATCTGGTGGGAACACCGCGTGAGCAATGAGCGTGTTCGACGTCGCGTATTTGGTGCAGGAAGAGCGAGTGAACCGCTCAGCACCATTATATCACGCACCAGGCTCCGATGGCTGGGCCACGTGTTGCGCATGCCAGCACACCGACTACCGCGACGTGCATTGTTTGCGCGTTGTGGGTGCGGTTGGAAGAGGAGGAGGGGAGGCCAAGTGATGACTTGGTCGAGAGAAATGAAAACCCTCACTTCGAAGTTGGCGTCGGTTGGTGCATCCCGACTGCCTGGCTGGGGTCCTAAGGACGATGAACACGTTTGGTTGGACACACTTGCTGATATGGCTAGGAGCCGGCACCAATGGCGTTTGTGTTGTGATTTCCTTTGCCCATCCCCCTCCTGTTTAATATCCCCCTCCAATCACGATCTCATCTGTTAGGCATAATATGATTCTCTTTTTACGGCAGCCAGCTGTTAGCTCTCCGGAACGATGTCCATCCGTTACTGGGGACTCAGCGGGCGTGCCACTGTTTTCCTTTTCTTGTCTTTTGTATTGCGGCACAATAGCTGAGGTGTTTTCCACCTTCAGCTAACGTGTAATGATGATGATGATGATGATGATGATGATGATGATGATTGATCAACATTCTGCCATCAATTATCGAGAGCGTTGTAAGCAAACTCCAACTATTTTGGTTGTGACGACTGCGGTATAACTTTCTGCTTGACAACCTACATGAAAAGACCTACTCCGATCTGCCTACACACGAATTGCAACCTGGCTCAATTCGAGAGTTTGGCAACGATGGTCGTGTACTGATTATACCGAAGGCTAAAACAAGCATGCGCTCCGCTTCCCGGTCAACAGATATGCTTGTCTGCGGTGCAAACTGCCGATTACACTCAGGTCATGTGACAATTTGACAACCTTTGGTAGCGGACTCGCGAGTTACCTTGACCTGTATATGGTTGGCGGCATCCGGTTTCGGATTTACCTGTCACTGTGGTCAGCCACAGGACGCCAGCGCCTACAGAGGGACCATGGGTGGCTTGCGCTGCACCACCCACAGCTACATCCACACACCCCATATCCAGTGTAAACCCAAAGGAATAAGACCGGGAGGCATGTGGATTGGAGCCACGTTTCATCAACGGAGCCGGCCCACACTCCTTCACAGGCAAACACAAGCACGCTGTGTTTCGGGGAATCAAGCGCACACAAGGCGGTGGCTGAACCGTAGTCCGCTCCACATTGAGTGCATGGAACCACTCTTCGAGCCTAGCACGACCACAAGGACCGTGCTCCCCGTCCCCTCCGGCAACGACCAACTGTCTCCTGGAGCCCGTATGAAGGATGTAGTGGGTAACAGACAGGTAGGCACTTTGTCAACATGCGCATCAAGCGCAGCCACACCTGGGATGTCAAACAACAGCTAATCATTCAAAATGTCGATATCAAATAAAGTAAACACATATAACGACATAAATACTCGTAAAATGAGCATATGGAAGAAATTGGTTAAAGGTGAATACGCGATAACTACAAAATATCCGCAAGTTATTTAAAGAATACCACTCAATAAAATTATGCAAGTTTACCACAATTTGCATGAGCGACGTGTGCAAATTGAGAGAAGATTATCAAGTACGCAGAACAAACCAACTAAAATGTAATGAATTTTATCCACATTAAAAAGACCTAGTTTAAGTGTAAGTTGGTTTAGCCCAACTGCGGTGAAGAAGCATCATGAATGCAACATCAACCTGTATATAATAGTAACTATATTCACATGTGAAAATTGCTTGACGAACTATCCTAACAGGGACCTGAAAACGTCTAAACTCCCCCATTTCCACACTTTAGGTCCCGCTTCGATCACGCAATAAATCGCTGTTCTATGAATTTCGTCTTAATATCGCACATATGCTTATATCCCATACAAGAGCATAGTTACTCTTGTACATATGAATCTGTGTCGCTACAGATACAGTTTCTCGGATCAAGAGAAATATACGCATTTTTATTTTTATTATTATTATTATCATTATTGCATGCAGTTCCGGGGTTCAGAGCTTGAAATGGTCCTCTGGTTGCCCAACACCTTGGACTGCAACATGTTTTCCAGTCAGCCATCTGCGTGGTATAAGTTGAATAATTCACCAGACGGCTATCACCATACCTCCGGAAAGGCATTTAGTAGCACTTTTCTATAATTCTAACATGTCTTGCATATTCCTTGCTATCCTTTTGTATCCAATACGCAGCCCGGACTGTTTACAATGTCATGAGTTATTTTGTGGCGTAATTTGGTGATTTTGTGGCTCCGGGGGGGTGCTGCCCTATCCTCCAAACACATCGTTGGATAGTGGACCACACACAACAGCACATCTAGTCACTGTATGATGTCGTTCATAGCCGTCCCCCGTGGTTCAGCGGTTTTTACCACGAATTCGTAACAGTAAGGTTGCGGGTCTTCGCACCAAAGGGGGACAGACCGATTGTACACTACTGGCGATTCCCGAAAGAAAGAAAGAAACGGATCTTCTGGATGTATGTCCGCTGTCTGACTTCGTTTAGTTTTTATTAACCCAAATCACAGTGTACATTTCCCTCAATCACTCCTTAGTAATCGAACATTTGTATATCACTGGTCTACCTTGGTATACCAGTCTCCATGTGAATACCTCTCCACAGTAGTCTATCCTGAGTCGCCGTTGCTGCTGTGCAACTTGGAACGTTGTTCGTCAAACTCGCTGAACTCGTTCGTTCGTCACTTTGTCCCTCATATTTCTCTCAGGTTCATCTTGTTGTCTTTGTCTTTCGTGTAGGTGATTGACAAGAGCAAGCGGGACGTGCGGGAGGAGGTGGAAATCCTGTTGCGGTTGCATAACCATCCGAACATTGTGTCTCTGCGCGATGTAAGTGAAATACCCTCTACCCCATATGCCTTTGACTATTAGTACCTTTTCGACATGTGAAGGAATTTTTCCCCCACTTCTGTTGTGACTACCTGTTTTCATTAAGGGATGCTGCAGACGGAATTCACAAGTCTCGGTCACACAGTAAAGGCAACGTCATCAGTGGGTAAACGGAAAGTGACATTAAGTAATACGCGCCTAAAAGAAATGTTTGTTCCATCTGCTTAATTTTGATCCCTCATAATTTCTCGCAGTACGGTCTAGTAGCTACAGTTTGTCCGAATCATTGACGCCTTCACGGAGTTATGGTATTCCCATCGTAGCAAATCATTGGTGTAGTAATCAGCGTTATACCCCCCTCCCCACATCACGGTGACATGTATCACAGGAAAGGATGGATTTTCTCGACTCACAGTAGTGCATGAGTCACGGATATGGACTAAACCAACTGACACTTAAATTAGGTCTTTTTAAGCGGGCTAAATTTCATTCCACTTTATTTGGTTTGTTCTGCCTACCTGAATAGTCTTCTGTTAACTTGCACACGATGCTTACACTAATTGTGGTTATCTTCGTTAACTTGATCGCGTTTATAGCATTTTTTGAGTAAATTGTGGACATTTTTTGCTTATTGCGGATTCGGTGCTAACCAGCTTACTTCATATGCTTATTTAGCGAAGAATTATGTCCTCATAGCCGTATGCTTTAACAGATATATTTTATTTGATAATGTTATTTCAAGTGATTATCTGTTGTTTGACATCCGCGGTGTGGCTGCGTTTGACGTGAATATTGACAAGATGCCTCTCTATCTACTACCTTCCACATCGTCGACACTGGCTTTAAGAGACGGTTTCCGTGGCTAGAGGGAACCGGGTGCACGGTCGTCGTCGCCGTGCTAGGCTCGACGACTGGTTCCATGCACTCATTGTGGAGCGGACTACGGTCCAGCCACCGCCCTTTGTGCGATTGAATCCCAACTACAGCGTGCTTGTGTTTGCCTGTGAAGGAGTGTTGGCCGGCTCCGTTGATGAAACATGGCTCCCATCCACATGCTTCCCGGTCTTATTTCTTCGGGTTTACACTGGATATGGGATGTATGGTTGGAGCTGTGGGTGATGCAGGGCAAACCACTCATGGTTCCACTATAGGCGCAGACGTCCTGTGGCTGTCCCCATAGAGGCAGCAGTGACAAGCAAATCCGGAAACAGATGCCGCAAACTATATTTTTCGACTGTGCGAGTGACAGTCCAAAACTTTGACTGATCATATGGTATAACATGATCACAAATTGAGCAAGTTATTTCAAACTCAGGTTTACGGGGCATCCAGTTAGTACAAATGGTAAAAGAAGGTACGTTTAAAAGCAGGATGAAAGTGATTATTGAAAAAAGCCAAATAGTATGTACCACGGCTAACCCTGGAACCGACTCCTATTGAGCTGCTCCCATGCCGGCGGGGTATTCCCTCGAAAAATTTCATCCGCACTTCCACGTCCCATTTGGCTTCGTGCCGGTGTGGCACAACAGCAAGCGATCCATCACCACCATACTAGCTGTTTTTTTGTGTCCATTCTTATATATATTATGAGTAATAGGCTCGCAAAAATAAACGAGCTCCCATCTTTTTCGTTTTTTAAAATGCTCTTTTTGGCCATTCTGCCCATTTCGGCTTCTGACTCAAGTCTGACACCTTTTCCACTCGATGTGTGTGTGTGTTCCAATTTGCTTTGGGTAGTCCTATTTTTCTCAACATTAGTTCTGTGACAATTTGTCACACGTGGGTGTATTAACTAATACGAAAGCTACATTCCATTGCCTCAGCAGATCGGCGCAGTCGTAGAAAACATTGGAAAGAAGAAGTATAGAAGATGGCGAAATACTAATAGTGATAAATGTGTGGTATATAACCGACAAGTTCTGCTTCAGGTTGTACATAGAGAATACGTAGAGAAAATAAACATACTGGAAAACGACTCTGGACGATTTTGTGACGGATCTAGCGACTCCAGCCACACTGGAGTTGTAGAGTGCTTGGTATGGAACGTGGACAGCGCATCAAGAACTGTCACAGATAGTTTAGTTTTCTCCGCAAAGGAGTGATAACAATTAGCAGTGCGCAGCAAATGTCAAGAGAGAAAGGAACCTTAGTTTTGCAAAGCGAAAAGCGCGATAACGTTGGAAAGTTGGGATGGGCATAAGCTTAATTCAGCTAATTCATCATTGTCATTCCCAATCAGCAGGCTTAGGCTAGTCTGTAATCCGGCAGGGGTCCACTGGGAGGCGCACCACTGACGAGACCCAGAAGGTCGAAACGCCGGCGTCTGGTGCTTTTTCAGAGCAGCCTAAGCCTGCTGATTGGGAGTGACGATGATGAATTAGCTGAATTATACCAAAATCCTCACTGCTACTCATCAATATAATAAAATATGTCCGTATGGCTTCTAAGTCCTATGTGGTACATAGTCGCTATGCGGAAAGTCCTAGCTCGTGATGCTAGCCATTGTCCTCTGCACAGTTCGTAATTGGCATGGCAGTGGAAGATGTGCCGGGCTATATCATAGTCAAGTACCAATCACTGATCCGCGACTGTCATCCATGACGAAGTGGCACTAGCTGCTGGCATCCGGAAGTCATGGGGGCGGAACCCGGCAGGGGTCCGCTGGGAGGCGCACCACTAACGATACCCAGAAGGTCGAATCGCCGGCGTCTGATGGTTTTCCAGACTATCCTAAGCCTGCTGATTGTGAGTGACAATGATGAATTAGCTGAATTTCACCAAAATCCTCACTACTACTCATCAGAATATGCTTAATGGTTTGACTAAACGCGGAAGCTATTATTCAGGCAGTTTGCACATATTACCATGCACTTGTTCCTGTGTACCTATACTTCAACCACGTCTTCATACATTGACTCCACTTTGCTGTCCAGGTTCATAACTCTGTTGACTTACAACACAGTGTGATACATATCCAACATTTTTCCGAACGATTGTTTTGACTCACATAGTCGCAATTCAGTAGGTATTCCGTTCCACATATCCGAGTACTTCATCAGATGAAACTTCCTGCATATGATTGTTCTTGTTTTACTTATGCGTAGCGAATTTCTTTCATTCCTAATGTTATACCTTCCATTCTGCATAAATCTATACTAGTGTACGGGGGAAAATACTCGTTTATGCGTCTAGTCGAACAGAAACTTCAGGGCCAGTTTCAACCTCTATAACCACAACGGCTCCAATCTAATCATAATACGGCGTCCCGAATAGTTTAGTGTGCGGAATTCGGTAAATGGGACTTTGGTGAATCGACGCTACACATTCTCCAAGCATAGACGATCGCGTTTCCTACAACTAGTACATATTCACGAACAGTATTCCGAAAGAGGGCGCACGCATATCTTGAACATATGTGACTTGGAATCACGCCATATCAGCGATTTGAACGTTAACCGCGCTGTTTGGCTGGCTTTGGCAACTTTGGATTCGATCTGCTTCCCGAAATTGTGGATGCTTGAATAATAAATATTCGATCTCTTATTGTGTTGCGGAATGGAATTAGCTTTTCACTGGGGTATGAAGTGTTCATATGTATTTTGCATCGATATGCTAAGATTCCGCATTTATCCGCCACGAATGACATGTGCCTGTTGTTACACCATCCTTCAAGTTACTAAATCACTCCGTATCGTCTCCAAAATGTGTACCAGATTTCTAGCATTAAATGTACAGTACCTTAATATCATCTGCGCAAAGGTAGGTTGTGCCATTTGTACTATTTTTCTCTTATGTCATTAATATACATCAAAATAGCAACGGACCGAGGACGCTCCCTTGGATCACACCACTGGGAACAGGCAGCTCTGATGACCTATGGATTCCTGTTTGCACTTGTTGAGCGCGATCAGTAAGATATGCTCCAAATCCAGCATGCAAGGGGTCTATGATGCAAAATTGTGCCATTTTCCATAGCAGGGGGCGATGCGGCACTCTATCGAATGCTTTTTGCATGTTAATGAAAACGATGCTAACTGCGTGGCCATTATTCACAGAGTTCGTCAAACAATTCAAGAACTCCAGCTGGCATGTTTGATATGATCGTTTCTGTATAAAGCCATGCTAAGTCTGGTTAATCAGGTTTTGTGAGAGCAAATGGTTTTTTTGTTTTCTCTTTGACCATTCGCTCCCTTACTGTCGCAACGACAGGTGTGTGACTGATTGGAAGGTAGTTTCTGAGGGCTGACTTTGGACCATTTTTGTGCCTAGGCCTGACTAGCACAAGTTTCTATTGGATTGAAAAAAATGCTCGACTCTATGGACATGGTAAACAAGTTTAAGAGTAAAATTGATATATCATAGCCACCGTATTTGTGCGAGGAAATTGGTAGATCGTTTGAGCCAACATAAGAGGATGATCATAATCGGTCTGTGTGACGCTAAATATCTCTGCTGTTGAAAGTTATTATGCTCCATTTTAAATTGCTATTAATTGTTCTGGACAAAAGCACATCACAGAGAACAGTGAACGATGAGGTAAAGGGATTATTTAGACTATTTGCTATTATGTAAAGTTCCAAAATCAGATATTTGCCTGGTATTGTAATGACGGAAACTGTATCAGGTTGGATTTCATTTTGACCAAGTCTCCGTGTGCTGCGACTGCGCTTTGGTGGTCACCATTGCAAGAAGCAACTACCTCTCTGTGGCTTTTTGCTAGTTTTTGCTGATAGCTGGCTTGGTCCCAATCCATCTGTCGGCCGGTGGCCGACTGCTCTGCGCGTTTGGTTTGCAACCATAAGGTCACCGGTTCGAAGGGTGGACGTCCTTGCGGTATACTCAGTCCGCGCGCGACTAATGGTTGTCGCGCGGCAGTGAAGCGCCGTTACGGCGTACTGCTGACACATTATTGTTACTATTACCCAATCTATCTGTTACTCATCCTTCCTCCAATAAACGACTAAATCCCCGAACCAAACCACATGCACCCTCAGATGCCTACATAACACCGCTGTTTCTGTGGTTTTATTGTGTCCGGCGCAATCATGGTCTATCCCGAAGTCCGTGTTGTGGTGGCACTAATGAGGCTTAATCAGCTCCTCTTCGTCACTCAACCAATCTGGAGGTTCCACTTCGCCAAACCAGCTGTCCGGAGTCCCACTACACTGTTTGGACTGCGAAATACTTAATATAAACAAGATTGATAACGTTGGTCAGTTGACTTATCTATTAGGCTATCTATCTGGTATACTTTGAAAATTTGGGCGACATCTTGGCCGTTTGTTTGAACTTGGATTCGCGCCTTCATTTGAACCCCCGACTTCTCATATTACGAACCCGAACCACCCCAATGCGTAGGGTATAAGCTTTTTTAACAATCGTCACATTTGCCTAACAGCCTTGCAACCAATCGCACAATCGCTCTCTGAAATCTTCTTTCGAAATGCGCGAAAGTTCTTGAGTCCGGTACTACGCTGCATCATCATGCACTTTCTGTTTTCAGCATGCGTTTTTAACAAGACTCCATTACCGAAGCTGCAACATTGGCCTCCTTCCTTAGCTGCTCTTTTCCACAGTCTCATTTCGGTCGCTTTACCGTTCTTACCCGGTAACCTTTCGCATAAATTCTACTTCCACATCATTGCAGGTCTATGAGAATGGGACCCTGGTCTATTTAGTTATGGAGTATCTGGAAGGCGGAGAGTTATTAGACAGGATTTATCGTCTGAAACACTTTTCCGAACGTGAGGCTAGCGCCATTATCGAAGTGCTGGCGAGCACTTTGCACTATCTGCATCAGAGCATGGTACGTTTGTTCGTTTTCTGACACAGCTCTTTGTCTCCTCTACATGCGTATATATACATTCTCTCTGCCCCACTGTGTTGCTTAGTCCGTTTTGAAATGGTCCTGTCTCTACCGTCATCGATGTGCTGGAAAACAGTAGCTCACTGCCTGATGTTTCCCGCCCGAAAACACTCCACTCCATAATAGTTTCAATTTTGTTTGCTTACATCATGCATAGGTAGCAGGCATCGAACCCTAATGATTCTGGATTCAGTGTCTGGTATCTATACCTGATGGAATCAAGCACTTTCGAAACTAGTCGTGGAGGGCGGTGTTTTCGAGGCCAGTAACGCTCAGTATTCGTCTGACTCATCGGTTACGGTCCAAGTGATCGAAATGACCAAAGTTCACTTCAATAAGAATCGCGATCCACGTTGACATTGCACGTCACAACGCATTCACACAACTTGTGTTTCAAAATGACACATACAATCAGTAGCTCATTGTTGTATTTGGACGCTATTTTTCGCTTCAGTTCCGTGTCTGAACGTGTGCCCACTCACTGAAGTACACTTGTCAAAATTGTCATCACGCGCACCACCTCCGCTCTGGAGAGCAAAATGCGGAAATCGGACGAACAACAGCCGGTTTACAGTAGTCTGCAGCTGTGCTTTACATACTCGGTCGATGTTTCAGCGCATTAAGCCTTGCAAGTGACTCTGTGTGTGAGCGCTCTATTATGTCCCACTCCTTAGCTTTTGTCCATGAAGACAGCATGCTCCAACCTGATAAGCCCTCGCAGACGGTCATTTCTTCGGTCAATCACCCCGAGGATCTGACCCTGATATATGCGACGTCTGAAAAGAGTACGCACTGGGGCAAGCGAATACCGGCGTTGGTCAGTCTTCGCACCAAATATACATCAAGACCACAGTCAACGCACCAAGGCCGTTCTTGACCGCCGCACAAACGCCCGTCTCATTGCGGTGTATTTCGTTCACCTTTCGAGATTTGTGTCAATGTCGTACTATCTGTATAAATGAATGAGGATTGACAGTCACTATTTATTCCATTTTAATGGCACCACTGCGATCCGGTCACCGAAGTGCGGTGGATCCAGTTGTTACGACTCACGTCGCCATGTTAACAAGAAATAAATAACAGTGGAGCTTGCTAAAAAATATGGGTTAGGAGAACCGGAAAGTTAACAACCACATGGTGGAGATTAAAAGCAGAAATGCCAATGACTGCGCCATGCTCAATAGGGCTTCCAGCCGCTAATGTGGCCGATTTTAATGCCTGCCAATCCACGCAAACAACGCGCACTCGACTGGTCAAATCTGCCAGTCATGCATTTATGCCACGCCATCGATTACCCACCTCGCAGCTTCCTCCAACTTTCTGCTTTGACTGCACATGATACACGCCAGTGAAAGCTATCAACAAGCATACAAAGGTCACGGTTTAAGTAAAGTGGGCGGTCTACGTTTGGTAGACAATAAAGTGTAGACAACACGGCTTGTTTTCATTCAGCAGCTGTCTGACTTCAGTTTCACATTCCCAGTGCACTGGCCCTCCTGATCCGCACAGATGTCTCTCTAGATGCTAGTTTTAAGTCTCTCTACCGTCGACTTTCCGGAGTTAAAAGGAAATCTGAACAGTGATCACACTCCGTCAGCCATGGGCCGTAACTAAATTTGCTTCGCCATTGACTGGTGCTCATAATCCGTCCCATGCCACTCTTTACGCTGGCTTGCATACGCTGTTTGTTATCCATTCGGCCTAGCACACACCGATCCCGTCTGCGACCGCATTGAGCTCCGTTCATGTTAGGCCATCTACGTTGTGTATTCTTAGTCCGTTTGCATAGGCAACACTTGATTTTTGTCGGTCCCGTTCCCCCAGCTGACCATCCACATGCTTTCTCGCAAATCAGCAGCGGGATTGTCTTCACACCAGCCCCCCCCCTGTCGGCGTGCTTTTTATTCATCGCTTTGCTTTCGTGACGCACTTTACCCCTGACCAGTTCGACTTTGTTTTTCTGCCTTGGGAGTATTTTGTTCAAGCATCAACTTCATAGCGTCGTTACTACTTGCCTTGATTCCATCCATTTGTCTCGTCCGCATAAACAACGGCTAATGCAGCGCTGCACCTGCGATACATCCGAGCCATTCCATACTATTATGACATCTTTTCCAAAATGGCAAAACCAGGGTCGGCAGTTTACTTGCTCATCTAGCTATTTTGCGATCTTTCACCGCTTGTTCCCCAAACATCGCGATTTTTCTCCTATTTGGCTCTGGCTTTGTTATTTTATATTGTGCATTGTTTCCCCCACATCTGATATCGCGACTTCCTTTACTTGACTGCACGCTATCATATGTGGCGTACCTACCAAGTATAATTTCGTCTTTCAGCAAGTTATTTTTATCAGTCGATACCTTTTTCTCACGTATCTATAGATCGAACCCGAGTGGTGATTGCCTTGGCTTATACGGCTTCTGTTCCGACATTTGAACGAATATCCACCACGCCTCGTTTGCTCCCCTGGGGTGTTCTGCATCAGATTCCGTGGTCCCCTGTTGCGACGCACCGCCCACGCTGGCTAATTGACACTATGCATCTGGTCAATAAGGTGGTGGCTTGCGATAAAAATGTCACACAATTAACCCGATACTGGTCATTTAGGACGAATTTCTCGGAATCTGCGACGTAGCCTGTCAGATTTAAACAGGCCTTAGGCACCCGATTTGATGTATATTTTTCTACCGACTTATGGCAACCTGGACGAAATCATGCATGGAGTACTCATAATGATTCAGAAACCAAATGGCAAATATGCACAGTAGCCTCGGGCAGTCACGCGCGGTGTATTATCAGTCCCCTTGTTATAGAAGCATAACGAGCGCTCGTTGAGTCTAATTTAAGTGCCAACGAAAAGCCAGCATCTGAAAGTCAATTTCAAGTTCGAAGAAGATGATTATTTTTGTCAGCTCACTCCCTAGAAGGTAATTTGTTCCTCGGAGTAAAAACAGGTAACCGCACCAACTTGCTTCTGTTGCGGACCCGTCAGATATTCCCGCATAAAACGCGCCTGAAACTCCGGAATAGTGGCTGTGGAAAGCAGGGTCCAGTTCCTCCTCACAACGTAGCAGAGTCCAGCCACTCCGAGACGCAGCCCAACTGCGCACCTTTTGACAATGGTCTTTTGCAAACTACCACCTCGTCGTGGTAGCAATTTTCTCTAACTTAATGACCCATAGCATTGGCTGTGGTTCGCCCTTTGTTGGTCTTAAAAGAGCCTTCAGAGGACCACTTGCCTTCCTTCCTCTTCGCCTCAGTTGGGAGTCGGTCGGGTCACGTGATTTTGTGTGCGTCGTTAGCCGGGCAGCGTTCGCGTCTAAGTCACTAGTGCGCGTCTACCGTAACCCCCTCTCGTGTGCGTCCGTTTCAAGGGCTCAGCGTCTACCCGAATACGTGCGGCTAGGATCGTTCTCACGCTCGCTCAATTTCCGTCTCACCAGCGCGTACCCCGGGCTAAGCCACGCCATCAGGTCGGCGCAAATCCGTTCGATTGACCAGCGTTACAAGCCGTTACCGTAGGCGTGCTCCAACCGTGCCAGTGGCAATCTTATCAGGCATCTACGCAATCATAACAGAGGCGTTTCCCTCAATCATAACAGCTTCTCAATAACAAACTTAACATTGGCATTTCTTAGTACACGATCACTGTTCGACATAGGCATGCTCTGTCACCCACTGGAAATGTGAATGTTTCGAAGGATCCCACGGAAAATAAGTAGTTGAGCAGAATGCGCGTAGTCTAAAACTGTAGATCGAGTTCCGGGATATTGAAAACACATTTAGTCTGAGAGCGTAGAATGATACACCTTTCACAAACATCTATCAGGGTTGGCTTATGGATAAAACGATACCGACATTAAAAGTCATACTCACCGGGGAAATATTCCCTGCATCCAATCATTGTTCATGGTAGCTTAAATCCTTTCATGTAAACAGAAAATACAAAAGAGCTAGCATCATTCTCTACGAAACACTGCAATCTGCACAGGGAATCTAGGATGATTTACGGTCTTACTGTGTTAAGGGGTCAAGATTTTCAAGCTATTCACCGTTTGAATTGACATCGTCCTCAAACACAGGACTTAGCTTTATTGACTTGGGGAGATTCCCAAATCTTTTGTGGCCTGTGATTTTACATCGATCGTGACTTTAAACCTGAAAGTGGTTTTGCTAACCTTTACCACCTATGACGCCGGCACGATATCTCTCTCTGGCTGAAGAGTAGAGTGTACAATGCAACCGTACGTTCGACCCTATTGTATGGTTGTGAAACGTGACCCATTAGATCGGCTAACGTAATGAGGCTAACTACGTTCGACCCCCGGTGCCTTCGCAGTTTGGCTCATATCTGACGGGAATACCGCGCGAGCAATGCGCGTCTACGGCGCCATGTCCATGTCACCGGAAGAGGTAGTGAACCATTCAGAACCGTTATTTCACGGACCAGGTTTTGATGGCGTGCTAATACACCGACTTATGCGACCTGCGTTGTTTTCGCACTGGGGTGTGGATGGAAGAAGAGGAGAGGAGGCCAGGCGATAATTTGATCAAGATGAATGGATGAGATCGTGAGTATTTCATCATCCTTGTCGCTGTTGAATTCGATTCCGTGCCCTCAACTATAGTTCCTTCTTCGTGCCAGTATCAACTTCGCTGTTTTTTGTCCTCATCGCTATTCACTTGCGTTCTCTAGGCCGCCAAAATCCAAACCTCGCCACTTTAAAAATTTGTTCGTCCAACTAGGAATGTCTGCACAAATTACGTCTCAACTCAGATGGGTTTAATTTGCAATTGGGAATGTGATCTTTATTACTCGGGCTCATCCGAAAATTATACGATTGCACGCAGCAAATCTTGTGTTCTGTCGTTTTTCACAGGTGTCCTCCTCCTACTCGACTGTATTGGGGGGGGGGGGGGAGGTGAGGCTACATGTGATACTGCCATCACGCACTTATCTGATATTCCGGATTGACGTGCTCCCATTGTCCGCAAACCCTGTTATCTTTTTCTCCAGTATGCTGCATCCCGCGGTCACACACACACACCAGTTATCTGTCGTCTCTCCGCTTTCAGATTGTCCACCGGGATTTGAAGCCGTCCAACATCATGTATGCACATCGTGGCGGTCTGCCCTCGTCGCTTCGCATTTGTGATTTCGGTTTTGCCAAGCAACTGAAGGCGGAGAACGGATTGCTCATGACTCCCTGCTATACGGCCAATTTCGTCGCTCCAGAGGTCTGTTGTGATCACAGACAATTTCTCTTGTTGTGCATGTGCTGGCCGGGTGTGTGTGTGTTGATGCTTATAAATGTTTCTTCGTCTGCTTTGTCTAACATCCCGCATGTTATTTGAATGCGGTAGATACACAAGTCATGAGTTATTTGGCCCTGATTCGAAAGCCAGCTAATGGACACATCTATTTCCACACGCACAAATGAGGGGTGAAAACATCTCTGATGCTCATTGGTAATAGGATATGTAAGCACTCGGCTCTCTTTAAGCAGTGATTATTTGCTTAGATTGACTAAGGCGGTAGGATGGTGTTAGATTCGTAGTGCTTAGTGTCATGTTTCCCCAATTCAACCGATGTGAATACGTGCTTGAAACTCGACACTAGATAATCATAGCGACTTTCTGGAGATCCGAATTCGGGTACCGCAAGTGGTTGCTTGTTAATCACCATCCAGATTGTTACAAGTACCGTGTTACCCGTTGATTTAAAGGTGTAGATGCCCGAAAATACTTGTCGCTTCTTTTGGACGAATATGACTAAACTGAGACAGAATCTCTCTTTACTCAGAGTGCATTTTTGCAGGCGATGAGTTCACAGAAATTGGACTCACACTTAAGCTTTTTTAGCTAATAGTTATTCGCAGTCAGGCCATTGGTGAACGACCTCTTATTTGCGTCCTCGATCGGATGATGGTTTAATCCGACGCGTTATTTCAATGGAAACTAAATTTGCGCCTAGTGACATTCGGGAGCTACTGCGGTTAGCTCTCAATGCAATTGTAGCTAGACCCCCTATTCAGTAGCATTGAGAACATTGTTGACATGGCAAGGAACTGACCTCAGTGGCGTTTGTGTTACGAGTTTCTTTGTCCCTCCCCTCTCTTTTAGCTTACTCCTCTCTAACAACGGTCTCATACCCAATGCGTAATATGGTATTTAGCATTTTAGTACTTTTTTAGTCTGTAATGCGGCACGTTTACCGACGTGTGTTTCTCATCATCGGCTAACCTATATTGATGAGGATGATGATGATTGTACCAACGATACGAAGCCTTAACTAAGTACGTCGTACGATAACTAAACTAGAAACTGCGCATAAATAAATCTAGACTTAACGCATGGTCTGGGCAGAAGAATAAAACGAAGTATCCTGTAGCCGTGGTTCTATAAGGCATATTAAGTGCAGTACCTGACTTACGAATAAGTTTTGAAATCCTAGTGCAAGAAGGCAGCAATTGTACAGGGTGCGGTGACGTGCGACTATTTGAGCATTGTCACAGTAACATAATAAAATCAATGACCTTGAAACGTCAAGGATATCTCGGTGATCGGGTGCAAGGAATTAATAGACAATATGGTAACTGATTGTAGGACACGGTAAAGCAATGTAAAATGAGCAGAATAAATAGGGAGTAGAGCTACCTCGTCCTCATGTAGGCAATCCAGGTTGGGGATGCCTCAACGTTCCTTTTGCACTTTACACTGATAATGATGATGATAATCGACAATCATTATTGGTGGACAACTTACAGACGCTATTTCTGGTGATGGTTGAAATAGGCCACCTTACCTGCATTATTCATGAGCCAAAACTCGGCCGTTGTGGAAGTGAGAGCGATTGTAAAGAAAAATTAAAAAGGGAAATCAGGTTGTCGCAGGCGATAGCATATTTTCGTTTTTTCACGCGTCTGTACGCACGGATTATATCTGGTGGTTAGGCCGATATACTGCCAGGTCATCCACATCTCAACAGGAGAACCTCGGTAAATGTATCCTTAAAAGGCCAAAGGGAAGTAAAATATGAGTCAGTCAGCTCACACTGCTATGCTATAACCATAACTTAAAGGAACAGTGTAGCCTTACTTAGTGGCCGCCACAAGCAGGCGTACAATATATGAATCAATGACGGGGGCGGAACACCAGCGGGCCACTGATTTTTTGGGCTCTCACCACCGTGGCCGAAAGAATAAGCTGTATGCTTTGTAACCTCAATATCAGCGGTTCGAACTGCGCTAACTACTTTGCAGGATTCCTCTGAATGCCTATGAAGGTCGCAGTGAAAGGCAAATCCGGAACGCAATACCGCCAACCATTATATGCTCGGCGGCATCCGGTTTCGAATTTGCCTGTCACTGTGGCCAGCCACAGGATGCCTGCGCCTACAGAGGGACCATGTGTGGCTTGCACTGCACTACCCACGGCTCCAACTACACACCCCATATCCAGTGTAAATCCGAAGGAATAACACCGGGAGGCATGTGGTTGGGAGCCACGTTTCATCAACGGAGCCGGCCAACACTCCTTCACAGGCAAACACAAGCACGCTGTATTTGGGGAATCAAGCGCACACAAGGCGGTAGCTGGACCGTAGTCCGCTTCACACTGAGTGCATGGAACTACTCTTCGGGTCTAGCACGACCCCAAGGACCGTGTATCCCGTCCCCTCTAGCAACGACCAACTGTCTCCTGGAGCCAGTGTGAACGAGGTAGTGGGTAATAGACAGGTAGGCACCTTGTCAACATACACCTCAAGCGCAGCCACACCGGGGATGTCAAACAACAGCCGATCACTTGAAATGGCATTATCAAATAAAATGTGCCTGTTAAAACATACGGCTATGCAGACATAACTCTTTTCTAAATTATATATATATATATATATATATATATATATATATATATATATGAACAGTAGTCCTTGACTCGTGACTACTTTCGCCTGGGTGATATCCTATGTCGTTCGTTCACCGAGATCGGCGTTTCCCACTTGATGCAAAGTCCCCAAAGTCGCACTTTTTATCGCTTTCGTACCATCAAGGGATATGGAAGGGTAGAACGACAAGTTACTCACGTAGAATAGCATAGGACCCGGAGCACTGCCCTGTATGACGCCAATTTTGACAGACTTTGGTCACGATGTTGAATTAGTGCAAATGGCTTCGGTTAGCGAAGTGGAAATCAAACCAGATTAACATAGGACAGCGACTGCCATATGTGAACCCTATGGATACCAGTGCATTACGTAACAATACAAACACTTATTATTGCTGACACGCAGTTTTCAAGACCAGTCAGCGGGTTGCGGAAGTTCAACCAACACTGGACCACAAATTCAGAGGGCCGTGCCAGGGATTTCTATAGAGTTAGTTGTTAGCACTTTAGGATTTTCGTCCCCATCATTTTGCTGCTTCACAATAGCTGAGGTGTTCTCCACGTGCAGCTGACTTGTATAATGAAATATGAATGAACGTCATCATTTTGAACAAAATCAGTATTTGACAATTTTCTCAGTAACACACACAGTCAGATTTGTAGCTCGGGGTGACCACAATATCCTTAGACTGGATTACCATAACACCAACTTTAGTAGACAATGTGAGGAGAGTAAACTTAACACCGAAATGTAGAACAGTGGGCCCCCTTCAGCCATTTCTTGAAGGCAGAGAGAAGACAAAGGTTTCGATATGTTAACATTTCGCTTGTTCACTTCAGTCGCAAGCACAATACGAGCAGAAACACACAAGGGATTATATACATGGAAAAAATTAGCACTACCAATCAAAATGTCACTGTCAAGACCATGACAGCCGAATTGATTGCCTCAAGAGTTTCTGTGCACGAAACACAGGTTAATAGGCCTTAATTAACAATGCCTCACTAATTGCTAGCATTATCGGGTTTTTGTTACGTAATAACACTTTGAACGCTGTCTCGGGGTTCACGTGATGACGGGTTGTCATGAGGTGCTTGGTGATAGACGATGCTGGGCTCCGATTGATTTTCAGATTCGTCCCATGTTGTTGCGTAATCACTTGTTCCAACCACTTTGGCAAATGTTCAGCTAACTTCTGAGCTAACTGACGGTTTGTTCTGCCTATGTAAATGTCACCGCAACCGCAGGTGAACTGATAAACAACGTGAGAGGCCGAACTAACGACGAGATGCTCTGACGATTATGAAGAACAAGTGCTCGCGTGGTATGCCTGATTCGCAACTTTGATTGATAGTGCTTCTTTTTACTATGTATATAATCCCTTGTGTGTTTCTGCTCGTATTGTGTTTGCGACTGAAGAGAACAATCGAAATGTTAACATAACGCAACCTCTGTCTTCTCTCTGCCTTAATGAAGTAACACCGAAATGTCATCACTCCTTATGTTTTATCAGGGAGGTTGGCAAGTTGCTGGGTCTACTGGGGTGCAGAGTTTAAGGAAAGTCGAAATTGACCAATACAGATTTGGTCATCAGTTGGGAGGGGGGGGGGGGAAATTACCCCAGAAAACTCATTAGGGGCATTAAAGTAAGTGACCATAATGTCCTTTCCAATCGGATTTTTGCGTACATATCGGCTGTTTTCAACACAATTTGGCGAGTGGGATCGGCTCCGACTACACTGTCCCATCAAGTGGGAAACACCGATCTCGGTGAACGAACGACATAGGATATCACCCAGGCGAAAGTAGTCACGAGTCAAGGACTACTGTTCGTATATATATATATATATATATATATATATATATATATATATATATATATATATAATTTAGAGAAGAGTTATGTCTGCATAGCCGTATGTTTTAACAGATATATTTTATTTGATAATGCCATTTCAAGTGATTGGCTGTTGTTTGATATCCCCGGTGTGGCTGCTCTTGATGTGCATGTTGACAAGGTGCCTACCTGTCTATTACCCATTACTTCGTCCATACTGGCTCCAGGAGACAGTTGGTCGTTGCTGGAGGGGACGGGGTGCACGGTCCTTGTGGTCGTGCTAGGCTCGAAGAGTGGTTCCATGCACTCAGTGTGGAGCGGACTACGGTCCAGCCACCGTCTTGTGTGCGCTTGGTTCCCCAAATACAGTGTGCTTGTGTTTGCCTGTGAAGGAGTGTGGGCCCGCTCCGTTGATGAAACGTGGCTCCTATCCACATGCCTCCCGGTGTTATTCCTTCGGGTTTACACTGGATATGGGGTGTGTGGGTGGTGCAGCGCAAGCCACCCATGGTCCCTCTGTAGGCGCAGGCGTCCTATGGCTGGCCACAGTGACAGGCAGATCCGAAACCGGATACCGCCAACCATATGTTTAGATGTGAAACCATCAAAAATTATGGAACTCAAAGGGAGGAGCATTTGTTTTTGAAAGAATACCGGGCACAACGCATAGTGGTCCATTATTTTGTCAGAGGACGCGTTACTGCCTGCTTGCCCAAGCAGGTAGGGTGTTGCCTTGGGGTATTAGCTGATCAGTCTGCCCGCAATGCAGCGGAGTGAATGCAAGCATTCGCGGCCATTGGAAGCCGATGATAGATAGTTCATTTCATACGCCTTTCGTTTGATCGGTTGTTAAACAGGGGCCCAATCCCCCCCCCACAGTTTCAACATCACCTTGCTGGAATACAATACTCCACTGGAGTGAAGTATAGGGTAGTGACGTTGTTTAGTCCTCAATCACACCCACTACTTCGCCTTGTTGTTGAATGGACGTATGTGACTTTTTATAGCGAGAACGCTTACCAGGCGTAAAGCCACCACATCCTGGAGCAATGCCATCGAACTATTTGCTGGAACGGGCGAAATTCGGTCGACCCAGCTAGCACCAGGTGGAAGTTGTTCCATAAGCGTTTCAATTCTTCATGTGTTGTTAGGCCGCTTGACACACTTATCGTTACAATGCATATGATAGATATTGTTACTAGCCAGGATGAGGACTACAGGGTTTCATACTCTTGGACCAAGCGAGTAGGGATGTCCGGTAACAAGTTCTCAGACTTGTTGATGGGCCACTGACACCTGTTGTATCACGTTGTTCATCTGCGTTTTAGTCACCGCAAACCTTATCTATGCACTGAGCTGAGCGAAGCTACCCACGGACGGCCTAAAGACAGAATTCCAGAGTTTGAGTGCCATTCTCAGGGATTCGTGATTCCGTTCAGATGTATGGCGTTCTTTCACTTCATTCCGGGTGCAGATCGGGTTGGCGCCCCATCATCGTATCGATTCGCGTTTGACCACTTACATTTTCTTGGCAATGTGTCTATGTTTTGTCATGTTCTTAATTCACTTTGATGTGCATCCTCTCCGTGAGTAGGATACCCAAGGAACTCGGGTCGCTGTTGGATGTGGCTGCATTAATCCATAAAAATACTTTGCAAATCCTTAGGTTCGCCCACTTTCATGGTCGTCTGCTTGCAACATCTTTCCGGTTCTTTGAGGAAATTCATTACCACTGGATGCGATCAACCGGTCGCCATGCGCCCGGTGTGCCTGGCGTGCTTCACCCAATTTGGTTTCGTCAGTAGTTGTATATGTCTCTTTCAAAGCCTACTGGACTCGACCTCGTATCATCCCACTTAAGAGTGACAGCAAGAACCCCCAGGATCCACTGTCGTCGTGGTATAGCGTGGCTCGCACTTTGCTTTGCTAAATAAGGCGCAGCATTTTGAGGCCATCCCTGTACTGTGTGTGCACTAACGCACATCATCATCATCAAAGAATGCCGTTAATCCCTATTGAATTGTTCGCTCTGCTCTAACTGCAACCGACAAATTCGCTAGAGGCTCGTAAAAGTTCCGGGTGAAACCAACACAAGCCTGAACTTACAGTACTATTCAAATAGATGTCAAACTATAATGCGGACACACCTCAACACTATCCGCTCAGTGCTGAAACAACCGGATCTCCACAAGATGCACATGGGTAACTGCAAGTCACCCTACTTAAGACTGTACGGCCGGATCACAAAACCCAGATTCCACCAGTCCACCCATACGGCTCTTTTATTGAATTACATGGCTTTATCCAGTGGGTTCACTGTGCAACACGGTGGGGTACAATTCCTTCGTGCCCTAGTATGGTTACAAGATGACGGTGATGTGTCACGGAGCAAATACGTGGTGTAAAGGCAACGAATGGTGCGCGTGATCTCGGGCAAGTATCAGCGCATCTCGGGCATGCGGTGTGCTCCCTGGCGCAAGGTACATATGGGAAGTTAGCAGTTGTGACTGCGCGGGTTAGAATAATACCATAGGCTGCATCGAATTTGAAGACAGGAGTTTTCACAAGTAGGTGATGGTAGGCTGGAGCTTAGCAGATATCGCACGTGTCAGTATCCCAACATCCAATTTGCGACTTGTATGGCATTTTTACCGTTAATGCTAATCACCGTTATTTCCCCCCGGACGCATTCATTGCGCATTATGGCTCACGACGTTCCGCTATTTGTTCTATCCCCACTCGCGTATAATGGCGTCATATTTTTGATCCTTCAGTTGATCGACCCATCACCTTTGTGTGAGTTTGCTGTGTGTTGAGTCTCGCTAATCAACTCGGATCATCATCACCCAAAGTTTTCATCCTGTAGTGTGCAACTTCATTTCACTTATATTCCTCTTGGATTGACATTCTGATGCCTAATGCTTTTTAAACACCACTATAGGCGCTGTCGTAACGTTGCTTCGTGTGTTCTGTTCACCACGGCTCATCAGCAGCAACCTGTCTGAAGACGGTAACGCCCACACACACACATGGTGCCGCTTACGTTCACGTGGTCGCTTTGACTTCAAGGAGTGCAGCGAACTCGTAGCCCACACCCAATGTCACCATGTCAGTGGCGCCCTAGTCTGTCATAAAGCAACGATGTTTCAACTCACTCAACTTTGCGGAGAGGAAGCTATCGGTGCTTGTCTTCACGAAAAACAGCCGTGTGCCTCATCAATTTTTTGTAATCAACCATAAGACTAGTTACATGTCATCACACGAACAACGTTTTCATCTACACCCCCAAGAATCATGACTGCGGTGATTCACGGAGTTAACCAGATTTCCACTTATTCACCTTTGTCCCATTTCGCTGGGCACGTGCGTCGGTCAAAGAGTATTGGACATCCATTCCTTCTTCTCTGAATGTTCTCTTTCTCTGAACCGAATCAGAAGTTGACCTGCGATCTCATTCACGTCACTTAACGATTGAAGCACGTGAATGACAGTCTACGCCATCAGTTGACTTGTGTAAACAGCAATTGACTACTCGCGCTCCACTTTCTTGGATCACATCTCTGTATGGAAATTACGCTTGACTCTGCAAACATCTATCTCGCTAAGCCACAACCCAACACATAGGGCTTTTGATTCCTATGCAAATGGGAATTTATTGACTTTCGTTTACCTGGTTGGATTGGTTTTGTTGAATTACTTTTAATCCCTCTGGATTTCATACTTCTCTTTTGAATTTGTTATGTGAGATAGGGGTATTGCCACATCTGAGCATCTCACTGTTGATTGCTGAAAATCGGTTAGGGTGCGACACTGGAATTAGTGCCGTTTAAGGCCACTCACAAACAGACGTTTCTTTTAAATCACCGGGAGCCTTTTGCGCGCGCGAGGCATCAGGACTTTTGGCTAGCAATCTCGAGAGTCTCTGTCGAACGAGTACCAAACCCGTCGTGGAGTGCAGCGTTGTAAGCGCAGTTAGCACAACTGGTGTTTCAACCACATCGTTACCTTTGCACTCTGTCTGGCGCTCCTAACACGGAGCTAAACTTCATCTGAATTGCAAGGCCGATGTCTTCGTGGACGCTCATCAACTATACTACTCAGCGACTGCGCACCCGCCGATCACCGTGCGCATTCACTGTGATCCCTACTCTAGCAGGTTCTTTGCGAAATACTCGTCTCCACGATTTAATACAATCCATCCGCTCCACCATATGAAGCGTTCCTTCTGTCTACCTAATCGTTAATCGGTATTTACACACATCGGAACTTTCCTATGCCCAGCGAGACAACGGAAATCGTTATCAATCACCTCCATGCAAGTGTCGCTTTTTTCGCACAAAACATGGTGTGTGACCGGGTACCATGCTCTGCTATTGCATAGCAGGCTCTCCGCCACCGCTTTTGATCGAATCCTTTGCTCACCTTCATCTGGCAATTCTCCGGCTGTCTTGCTTCTGTGGAAAATGAATACACAGCTCTGCTGGTCGCTGCAAAACGTGCAGGCTGGTTTTTTCCGCACTGCAAAGTCTTATGCAAGACACCAACTAACTTGTCTCCAAACTGAACCATAAAATGTGTTAACAGGCGATCAATGGACTTATCCCGGCTAGCTTTGCCACATCGAACGGATCATCAAATGAGTTACATACGTGCGGGCATGCCTATATGGAACGTGTTATTAGCACATAATCGTTCTTTACCTTTAGCAAACGATTGCTTGCTCACGGCTCCTCCTTTGCTACGCTGTCTACGCATTCCATTCCCATAAATGCTGGCTACGTATTTAATGTTTCGATCTTTTCATGATTGGATCGACGACAACTATATAAGTAAGTCTAGTTTTTACCCTACATTTTGTAGGCTAACGGTCGTGACCTGCAGTATTTGTGAGGTATTTCGACACTCTTCATTTAGATTTAGCTCATTTCTTTGCGTATTGTTTTCATCTGTTTGTTCCTCCTTCCGTTTGGTTTGCATGGCTCTTTTTTTTATTGGTCCGTTCGATGCACGGCGTCTGGTGACTTTCAATCTCTATTTGTTGCCCGTCGGTGCCCCATCCTCTCTACAAATCTCCCCAGCTGTCTGGAGAATCCCCATTGGTTTTCTTCTTCACGCGTTGTCTACTCATTTCGACTTCCGTCTCATGCAATCGAAACCATCATTCCTGCATTCTATGTCATTTTTCGACTTCTCTTTCATTACTACTCACTTTTGACTCCCTGTTCCTCACTTGTGTGCAGCGGTTTGGTATCCACTCCATTTTCCTTGCCGGCTTCCAATCATATGTCTCACTTTACCCTTTCCTGTGCGGGTGGTCCTCTCATTTTTGTCGATAGCCTTGGTGCGCTTCAGCTGCTACATTGCTGTAGCCACCATTGCTCTGTCAACTACTACGAACTGCCCCATCCCTCTGTTATCTCCATCATCACCTCTTTGCTAACTTTCTCGTCAGGTTCTCAAAATGCAAGGCTACCATGCGGCATGCGATGTGTGGAGCTTGGGTGTTCTGATGTACAGTCTGTTGTCCGGACAGACGCCGTTCGCCGCGAAACCGGACGACTCACCCACCGTTATCTTGTCCCGCATCGAATCCGGTGAACTCAACTTGTCCGGTGGACCTTGGGATACGACTTCGGAGTCTGCCAAGGTACCACCTTACTTGATCTGAGTGTATAAAGCAAGTTTCGTATAAACTCCACCACTGAGGTGTTCCGTTCAAAAGCACCTTTGTATTCGTAATTTTCTGTGAAATAGCATGCTCCCAATTTTTTCTAAACATTATCGGGTCTTTAGGATACACATGAGTATCGATTAGTTTCAACTTGTTTACGTTTTGCGACGGGTGCGTATTAGACCGGACGGATTATGTCGTCACTATGTGTCAGTTCCTTTTCCTATCACACTGCACGTTTGGAAACATTCTTCGTCTTCATGCGCTCTTGCCGTTTGATATCACTGGACAACGCTGAGTATTCCAACATTGTGAACTTTCTAATGTCCTTGATACTACTGCACGATACTGAGGCTAGACCTTACCGTGGTGCGATGGTTGGTGTGCATCAGTGTTCCATAGAGCTATGTAGGGTGATGCTTTTTGCACCTTCAGAGCCACTCATACCAGATAGGCCACTGGTTAGAGGCCAGGCAAACTGAGCCTTCTGGTTCTCCAGGTTGGAGTTTGCAGTGGCGGTGGCTCCTTATTCCTTAAAACAGACTCCTTGTAGCCCACTGTCTTACGGTCAAGTGTTGTAACCAAAGACTGGTTGAGAACCGTAAGCCGTTCTCCTGTCTAGGCCTGGACAACCTCATAATATCCTGCCCGTGCAATAAACACGGCACAATAGCTGGGGTGTTTTCCACCTCTAGCTGACGTGTATAATGGTGATGATAATTTGCATAACCCACCGTTCTCCGGTCGCCTCTTTCCATTGTGCATACGCTTTTCCTAATGTGTCCGAATTGCTCACATTAGGTTGTCCCCGCCCGTCCGCAGCTCCTCACGGCCTCCTTCACTTACAGCAATGGCAGGACGTAGCCTGTCAATGGTTAAGGATGTACATCAGTGTGACTGATTCTCTTTCTTGTGTATCAGAAACACGGCAGCAACGTGCTGAGAACATCAACAGACAGGTCATATTTTAACACCCACGCCTACGTAACTTTGCACTTGCTTGATGAGAACATTGATATCAGAGTTCGTCGTTTGATGTTAGGCGGCGGTGCATCGTCTCAGGCCTCACTGAAGCGTTTGTTGAACTCGAACTAACTGCGCTTCCTTTTCCACTTCGTTTTACCGACTACTTCGGCTGACCGCTTGATGGCATCGCAACAGAACTCTTTGGAATCGGCCACACAAATCACGAAAGTCATTGGCCATCTCACTTTCGTTTCCGCACATCTACGGTTTTCGTCTGCTTTATCTGTCCATTACAATTGATTGTTTCACCGAGACGTGAGTCAAAACAACTGAATCCAGCGTACTCACAGCTCGTTCTAGATCAGCCAAACTGGACCGGATCGGCACTTTTCCTTTTTTCTTTCAGTTTCTCATTTTATTTTAGGTACACACTCCCCCTGTTTTATCACCTTGTCAACTCATCCGGTTTTGTGATATCGAATGCTGTCCCCGTACAGTGGTCTTAGACACAGCATATGGGTTACTGATGTCGCTTGCTTCACCTCAGCCGTTATTTCTCCATGAACAGAAACACCGATACTATGCCCGTTTGTCGCGCGCGAAGAGTGTGCAGTCATTTTTTGATTATCAGTAATCCAACTTTCTCTGTTCATTTGTTAGAACACGTACCACAGCTCTGGTCATTTACCACCGACATATTTCCCACTACATTTCTGTACGCTTTCTCCCTGCCAACTTCCGGCCACTCGAAGTGCTTCCTCACTGGTTGAATGGATGGGCGAGTCGAGAAACCGTTTGGTAGTCGACGATCATCATCAACATGTGTGTGTCGGACTATTTTTGTTCTCACACTGTGCGCCCACGCACACCCGAGAGCACGTGGCTTCCACGATATCGAGGACCCATTAACTCTTTTGCGTTTGATTTTGCAGTGTTGATAATAAATTCTTATTTTAACACTTGTTAATCGATTTGGGATGTACGAAATTACTTAAAAATTTACCGCTCCGGCAATGGTTACATCATACAGGGTAACGTCTCTGCAGTGGACCGCATGCATCAAATGTCATGAAAAACGCCTGGGCAGCTGTGGAACAAACCAATAGTAGCCGTCCACTACAGTGACTTCTATGCGCGAAAGGGTTAATGGGGCACTGCCCAGCAGCATCTCCGGCACTTACACATGTGTTATACGCTATAGCTGTTATCTCTCTTGTATTAATCCCCACTCTCTTGTTGAGCCGGTCTCAAAGAAATGTGCTCTGCTTTTGCGGTTATGTTTAAATGCGTCGGTTCTCATTCTGTGGAGTTGGGCATGATGTACCTCCCCCAGGCCTTCTGGTTTGCATATTAGTACATTCTCATCTACTGTTGTTTTGCAAGAAAGCATCTTTCTGTTCCCAATCCGTATCACAGAGTTCCGTCGTTTGTCCATTGCTTTTGGCAGGATTTATTGAGGCTTATGCTAAATCCAGAACCTTCAAAACGCTGCTCTGCTGCGGAAGTGTTACAGCACCCGTGGGTAGCAGATCGATCGAATTTGTCCCCGGAACTCCTCATCAGCGTCAATTTGCAGAGTCCGAAGTTGATCAAGGTAAATTGCCATTGGATCGATTCACTCTTCCTCCTCAGTTGCCATACTGCACAGTTTAGTTTCGCGCATGTCTGTTCACTTTTCTGTTGTTTGCTTGCCTCTTCATTCGTCCTCTCTCTGTTCGTGTATCTGCGCGTAGGACACTGTCGACGCTACATTCCGCGCTTTGAGAACCACTCCGATGCCTGTGTTGGAGCCTGTCGAGGCATCCAGCTTGGCCAAACGACGCAGTCGTTCGAAAAAATCATCAATCAGCCGGTGACTCTTGAGCCTTTTTGACTGTGATTGTGTTCCTTTTTTCTCGAAATCTGTATATGTTTGTTCATTCTTTTTTCGCTTTTCTCTCACCATTCTTTTTATGCTTTTTACCTCATCGCTTTCTTTTCTTGACTGTTGCACACGTTTTCTACATGTCCACTTTCGTCTCCACTGTGTCTGTTGACTTTCGCCCTTTTATCGTGATGTTGATGCGATCCCACTATTGACACATTTTTATCTCTGCAGCAGCGCCTTGAGATCATCTCCTTATATTTTACTTCAGATGGTATCATTTTTATTCAATTTCAATGTATCTGACGACGCCGTGATCTCATTACACACTTTTCTTTAAAATTCTGGGCTTCATTCACTTTTTCTACTTGATTAGACCCCGTCCACCGGCAGTTGACCCTGTGGTTCTGCATGGTGACTCACACAGGTTATCAGTTCGAGTCTGCGTAGGTCCGGCAGACTTCGCAGCGGTCACTTTTGCAGCGAAGCGTAGTTACGACTTGCCCTGGTAGACTGTTGATGTTTTCGGGCTCTATAAGTCTGCGGGCCGCTTGACTCTTTTCTCAAATTCTTTATTTTTGCATTTGGAACTTCCTGTTTCCCGACAACGTCATGAATCGGAATAGCATTAGAGTCAAATGACACTCGTGAACTCCGTGTTGTTCTCCGGTCGGTGCCTTACGGTGCTGGGGTGGTCCTCAGTTTCTTGAAACCCGTTTTCTACCCTCTCTCCGGTGATTCCTCGCCAACGCACATTTTCGGCACCCACTCTAGTTCAACAGTAACTTTAAACGTTCTTCAATCGACGTTGCGCAGCATACCTCTCGCACCTTACCTACCCGCATAAATCCCACCTTATCCTTCCTGTTTTCGTTACTGGACACCCTGGTATATTTTTTCTGAGGGTTTGAGGTGCCTTCAAGTCTGGTGTCGAAATGAGCTTGTCCCGACTCATCCCCACCTGATATAACAAGGCTCTTGTTGTGGGGTTGTACCAAGTGAATTGTTTGGCCTAAACATCTGATCCATTTGCCTCCTACTGTAGGATTTCATCATTGTACTGAACTTATGCGGCCCTGTTGATGGTCGCGTGAAACACTACCGGCCAGGGTGCTAACCTTCGGTGCATTGTTTACTTTCAGTGAACGTCTAATCGCTTCCCCATTGACCAAGGCAGAGTGTAGCATGCGGCGGTTTGGCAGCTTCAGATACAGTTGGTTAAGCATGGTTGCGTTGCGGAGTTGGTCACTGTTTGTCACAAGTCTGTTCAAACCATCTTCACCCTTAACAGTGACTTGGATTGTAGCCGCAAATTTAATGGAACGTTTGGTTTTCCTCTCAACCGTACAGAATTACTCGCAAAACCGTTGACCGCGATTAATGCTCGTTTAAAATCATCCACCGAGATGGCATCTGGAACGTTGAAAACAAAAATGTTGTACCCTCCATTGCCCCAAATAGAACTCGGATCCATTGAGCTGCTAGATGGATTAGATTCGTTGCAGTTTTCACATTCCCGTGGTTGATAATGGGCGGCTATGTTACTACTAGGAGTTCTCGTCCCGGGCGTACTATCTGCTGGGTTGGTACGTGAGGTCCTTTTGCTATTAGTTGGGGCAGGTTTCATTTCATCACGTTTCGACAGTCCAAAATACAGCTGCTTTTCCTTGGTTGCGTTGCGCAATTCATCGCAATATGTTTTTACTAATCGTAATATTGTTTCATCATCAGTACTGTTTAATTGGAGCCGGGTATTTGGAGGATCGTTTATACAGCCGCTGTACCTGAAAAATATTTTCTACAATCCCGTTGACTGCAGCGATCGCACGCGTATACTCATGCACCAATATTCCATCAAGAACATTGAAGGTGAGGATGTTACACATCCCGTTGCTCCAACCGGAACCCGGCGGCAATTTGCCTTTTAAAGTGGCAGTCGTTCTTGGGGTTTTCAAATTACACCTAGGCAACCTAACCATTTTCGGTGATCTTCTCGGCGTTGTAACTCCGCGGGGACGTTTTGCTCCAGTCGTCGTTGTATTGTTAGACACGAAATCCCTCAAGTTGCTACGTATCATCTCTCCCCGAGTGATGGGTATTGTGGACAATCGAACTTGGGTCTGTTGTTCTGGTCAGCCGTCCCAAGTGTTGAAGGCTCGCGCAACCTACTTCGTTTTAGTGGCCCGAAGTGTAACTTGCTCAGCATGGTTGTACTTCGCATCCCTTCACAATTTGTCATAATAGTGCGTAGAATTGAATCCTCTTTAGCACCTAATCTGATTGGTGCCGCGAATTTACTTATTCCTTTGCTCATTCGCTCAATTTCTAGCGACTTCTGCGATTCCGTTGACTTCAGTGATCGCTCGGCTTAACGCCCTAAGGATGAACCATCAGGAACAATGGTACTAGAGGTCCCGTTTCTCTCTACGGAGTCCGAATGCAGTGACATTTCCATCTTGGTTGTTTCTGTCGTGGGTAGCAAGGGTG